TCTTCATTACTCATCCGCCCTCCCGTGATCTCCTACAGCTGGTTCCTGTTTTCCCATCCTCCAATCGCATCGTCCCATCAGCTGTATTTATGTGTTTCTGGTTGTTCAGTCCAGATCTCTCTCAGGCAGGGTGTAAGGTTGTGTTTGGGGTGCTCTTATGAAATTGGTTGTACATGGTGGAGTGTTTTGGAGTATTGAAAGTGTTAATCATTTGTATTTCGTGTGTCCTTCCCAGGGAGAACGGAAAGCACTTGGGAGTGTTAGGAAAGACGCCCTGGGCATACATCACCCGTAGGGATATCTCCTGTTATACACACCAGGTTAGATCTGAGCGATCCACCCCCTGTATTTTTGGTTAGGGCGCCTTGCTCGAGCGCCAGAGTAAATAAGTGTTTTGTGTAGGACGTTGGGACAGGTAAGGGGTGGGGTTTTGCTAATTTCTTTGTTTTGGATCAGCTCAGCCGTCCTCCCATTTCCCTCTATTGTTTATTATTATTATTATTATTATTAATAAACTGGCACGTGCTAGCCTGTTTAAACGAAACCCATCGATGTTGGTGTGATTACTTGCGCCCACACCCGGTCTCTGGCCGTCTGGGGTTCTTGGCAGCGCGGTGTATGTTCCCCTCCCCTCACGGGGTGCTGTACGAACGTAACAAAATATATTGCATAAAAACGTTTTTAAAAGCAGGTCAAATGAGTGCAGCAGTCTTCACACAGTATTTAATGTAGGAGGCCTTTATCTCTGGACTAAATGATTTATTTTGTAATTGGATCATATCAAGCTAAAAGTGTATTATTTGTGGTGTGAGTTTAACTTCATTGCGATCAACAGAATGGACGACTGCAGGGCGATTGGATCAAACGTGAAGCGGCTGTCCTGGAATCGCCTGGAGACCGAGTCAATCCCCCAAATCCACTCAACAATAAAAGAATAACCTGTGTAATAACTTCAGGGAGTTATTGTGACACCAGTGCTCCGGCCTCACGCGCTTTCACCGTAATTTATAGAATTCAAACGTATCAAACAAACTGTGGAGACGTGGCGTGAACGGGGGTGTTGGGGGGGGGGGGGGGGGGCGAGCCCCCTCACAGATGTAGTAGTACTCGTGTCCCACGTGGAACTCGGAGCCCAACGAGGAGGGGCTGTAGGGCTGGAACTTCTCGGGAGAATTGATGGGCGCGTGGGGGGCGTGGGGCCCGTTGCACTCCCACCTCTTGAAGCCCAGCTGGGGGGCGCAGTTCCTGTACCCGCGATAGCTGACCCTGTAGAGGA